TAAAGTGTAGTAATGTAATGAGGAGAGGATAATAATGAGGTACCTTGGCCCCCCTTTATAGGGGGAGTGTACCTTTGTGGGCTCAAGATGAGCTTGGCCCATAATGTTGGGATTGGACGTCTTAGTGGGCTTATCTTCCAAAATGTATCTGCTTTATCCATTAAACCGGGTCCAGTATAATATCCTATATCAATTTCATATTTATCACATCATATGTGTCATTCATAACATGTTATCTACAGTTAAATAATAATCAAACACTTTAGCCTCTGAGCAGAAAATATAAAATGATGTTCCATATACTTCTGTATATGTAACATCTAAAGAGTTAAGTCTACAAACAAAATGTGAGATCAACTTTAGTTATACATAAATTTCCCTGTGCATATTAGTAAAATTCACAACATTAATCCAACATTTTGACCACAAATATATGAACTAAATTATAGAAAAAATTAAAGATGTATGTCCTTAAATGAACAACTATTTTGCACCAATCATGTTGAACACAAAAAATTAGAAATATAAAAACCAACATGCCATAAAATTAAATGCTATTTGATTCGGAACTGTTCATCTTCCTGTGAAAAATTAAACCAAAGTAAATACTTACCCCATAAAATGAAAATATTGGAAAGCTTTTTCCAGAATAAAATATGTGCACATATGAAACAAAAGAATATGAAATACTGATGAATGAAATAGAGTGATTAACACTTATAAAATGTCAAATCTCAATGTAAGAGATAGAGTGTTTCTATTAATTAAACATGCTGTAATTTTACATCTCACAAAGCAAATGCACTGCAGGACAGGATTCCCAGATGAGCACAACAAACTTAGATGAAAAAATAACAAAAAATTTTGAAGAAAAAAAATGGATGGGGGGATAAATTCAACTTAACCCATCGAAGAAGGAGAAGTATAAATAGAAGAGTTTGAAGAAAATTCGATTAAGAGATGGTAATTATGCAGTTAAGAAGAGATTTGACAGGTAAGTTAAATATACGAAGTTCCTTCACTCTCCAGCAATTCTTTATCCGAGCAAAAGTTAAATACACGAAGGGCCTTCACTGAGCAGAAAGAAAAATATTACCTTTTGCAGTAAAATAAAGAG